CGTTTTGCAGGGTTCTTGACTTGTAAACCCGGAGATGATTGCAGAATATTTTCTTTCATGGCATTGACTTGAACAGTCACCTTCATTAAGCCATTGACCAAGCCTGCATTACGACCCTGAAGAAGACCTCTCATATTGGCAGCGTCGTACCGCTTGCGAGAAAACTCAGACCCTTGCGGATCTGATAACGGTCAGATTGAGTGTTTTCGATGTTCCCGCATTAATGGATGGGACAAATAACCCTTTTCAACGAGAGCGAGTGGAAAGTTCTTTCTTACTGAGAATCCCTCGTTCAGCATCTTGAGAAGTCCACCTCCCGAGTGAATATTGTCTTGATTGACCCTCAGTGGATGTTTGGTGATGCAAACATGGCGAAATCATCATGCATGAATTTTCAAATGCGCATTCTGGAATAGCATAGCTTGTCTATCCTTGATGAATGCATGCATGTTTGCGCTAACTCTCTTTGACAGGTAAAATATTTTCAAAGACTCAAAGAACATATGACCTTTGGAGCGTCTCCAAAGATGTCACAAAAAATTTCTTCTGTTCCCCAAGTGGAATTGACACAGCATGCTTTTGCAGCTCAAAGTTCTAATCCTCAGTGATAGAACACGCAAATTCGGGCACTGGAGAAGCCCTGATTATCATCACAAAAGAGATGCCCTGAAAAAGGTAGGGTATTCAGCAGATGATACATCAAACCTCCGGGTAAGAAATCCCAGGTATTTCATCAGATTTCTTTTCAAACTACCCAGAAGGTAAACAGGGTGTTTCTTTGAAAAAGAAAAGCATCTTGACCAGCTGGTCAAGATATTTCATACGATATTCAAGAATAGCCTCAGTTGTCTATTTCTCCGATGAATACGTATGTCTTTGCACAAAAAAAAAAAAAAAAAAAAAATTGTCTGACAGGAGACACGCCCTTAAGAGGCAGGAACGTGCCCAGGTAAGTACATTTTACCCATGCCTGATTCCAAAAATCCATGTACCTACGATTGTTATGGTACCCTTTGAACATCGGAGTCACCCCGTTGTTCACCCTCTGAACATCGGAGTGACCCCGTTGTTCACCAACTGAACATCGGATTGACCCCTTTGTTCACCCTCTGAACATCGGATTGACCCCGTTGTTCACCCTCTGAACATCGGATTGACCCCGTTGTTCACCCTCCTGAGCATGGGACTGACCCCCATGTTCACATCAAATCCTCGGGCGAGGACCCCCAGGTGCTCATCGTTTGAGCCTTTTCAAGACCTGCTGGCGAGGACCCACCAGGCAAACCAACAAATCCTCGGGCGAGGACCCCCAGGTGCTCATCGTTTGAGCTTTTCAAGACCTGCTGGCGAGGACCCACCAGGCAAAACATCAAATCCTCGGGCGAGGACCCCCAGGTGCTCATCGTTTGAGCCTTTTCAAGACCTGCTGGCGAGGACCCACCAGGCAAACCAACAAATCCTCGGGCGAGGACCCCCAGGTGCTCATCGTTTGAGCTTTTCAAGACCTGCTGGCGAGGACCCACCAGGCAAACCATCAAATCCTCGGGCGAGGACCCCCAGGTGCTCATCGTTTGAGCCTTTTCAAGACCTGCTGGCGAGGACCCACCAGGCAAACCATCAAATCCTCGGGCGAGGACCCCCAGGTACTTTATCAAAACAAAATCCAGTCAGTCAAGGCGACCGAAGAAAGGTTCGAGTCCTAGACAGACAAAAACAATCCCCGTCAAGGCGACCGAAGATAGGTTCGGGTCCTAGACAAACCATTTTTTCCGTCAAGGCGACCGAAGACAGGTTCGGGTCCTCGACACACAATATCAACTATCTGGAATTACTCTACCCTTCGGCAAGGTAAGTAGCCCCAGGTATATTTTTATTTGCTTTAGCATGCATCATTTTATATCGCATCATAAAAATGGGACTCCGGTCTCGCCAAAAATAACATTCATTCAACATGCATGGGCCAAATTTAGGTGCCATTTTATCTTTAAACGTAACCTCTGCGAGCTCAATCTCTGCGAGCTCACCTTCAAAGAGGGGCAGCTGTTGACACCTATTTTTAATTTGCCCAAAATTAATTACACAAAATTTAGGAATTAATTTTCTTTAATTCCTAAAACAAAAAAATATTTCTATTTAAATGCATTGCATATAGACATTAGGCATATGTGCATTAATAAGGCCTATTAGAGCATATTTTCTTAAAATTTTAAAAAAAAAAAAAAAAAAAAAAAAAAAAAAATTTCGAAATCGATTCGGGCCGGGTCGGGGCTGGGCCGACCCGGCCCTTTTTCTTCCTTTTTCTTTTTTCTTTTTTCTCTTTCCTTCCGCGCGGGCCCAGCCCGTTTCCTTTTTTTCCTCCGCGCGGACCGGGCCCGGCCCGCCCAACCCCTTCCTCTCTTCCTTCTCCCTCGCCGGTCGCTTCTCTCCTCCCTCGTTCTCCCCGTGCGCGACCGGGCGTGACGCACGCGGCGCCGCTCCTCATCGTCGTCATCCGGTCGAGGAGGCCGGGGAACACGCCACGTGGACCGGCCATTAAGGCCGGTCCCGTCTTCCCTATCTCTCGGAGCTCCCTCTCTCTCTCTCTCCTTCTCTCTCTGCGTCCTCACAGAATCGGCCCCCCCCCTCTGCACCGGCCTAATGGCCGCGAAAGTCTTGGTAGGAGCAGAGGCCGGTGCAGAGCATTGAATGGAGCAGAGAATGGCGTCGTCGTCGTCGAATATACAGACCAGAGAGAGGAGAGAGAGGGGCGGTTTTTTCTCGGTCGATTTGAGCAGAGAGAGAACAGAGAAGCCGTGAGAGAGACCCAGAGAAATTGAGCGAATTCGAGAGAAGACAGAGTGAACAGGGAGCCTCAGTCAGCCTCGCCGTTGCGCGTAACCTCCGGCGGCCGAGCCAGGGGCGGTTTTTGAGAGAAAAACAGAGAGAGAGAAAAAGAGCACCGAGAGAAAACAGGGAGAGAGAGAGAACCGAGAGCTCGCCAGAGCAAGAAGGAGAACCAGCAGTGTCACCGTCGCCCACGGAGCAACCGGAAAGCCGCCCTGACGCGCCGTCGACCGGTGAGTCTCTCCCGGCCGAGAACCGCCTCTGTTTTCCCCTGTTTTCCGGCGTGGTTGGGCCGGGACTCGCGCCGGCCGTTTCGTGCGAATCCCGGCCCATACCGACGTCGGTCCCGGTCCCTGCTCACCGTTGGAGGCGAACCAAGGCCGTCGGAGCCGACCGAGTCGCCGGGAGAGGTCGAAATCCTTCGTTGTTTTCTGCGCACGCCAGGTGTTCGACGAAACGCCCCAGTGAAACAGGTTTGATTTTGGTCGCGGGCCGGCGAGTGCGTGGCCGGACGGCGAGTTGGGTGACTGAAGGAGCTTAGTGGGTGTTCCAGGAGGTGAAAACCGCGGCGGATTTGGTCTGGGTCGGCCGGCGGACGGCCAATTTTGGCTCCGCCGGCGTTTCTCTCCCCGCGGGTCTGTGAATCCGGGTCGGATTCGACCCGAATCAGTAGATCCGACCCGGGTCAACGACCGGGTCGGATCCGTTGACTCGGGTCGGTTCCGACCGACCCGGATCAGCAGATTCGACCCGGGTCAACGCCCGGGTCGGATCCGTTGACTCGGGTCGGTTCCAACCGACCCGGATCGCCAGATCCGACCCGAGTCAACGCCCGGCCTGATCCGTTGACTCCTCGGGCCTGCCTAACCGACCGGATCGCCAGATCCGACCCGAGTCAACGCCCGGCTCGGATTCAGTTGATCCGGCCTCGGATCCGACCCGGTTAATATTATATTTTTTTTATTTTTATTTTATTTTATTTAAAAAATTAAAAATTTAAAAAAAAAATAAAAAAAATTTTAAAAAAAAAAAAATTATTAAAATTTTTTTTTTCTTCTTCTGTATTATTATTATTATTATTTTTTTTCGAAAAAATTTTTTTAATTAAATTTTTTTTTTTTTTTTATCTAAGTGTTTAATTTATTGTAGCATTATTATGCATAATTTACCATGTTTAAATTAGATAAGCCTAGGATTGCGCGGTAATATTTTGCATGTTAGTTTTTATTACCGTTGTATTGTTATGCATGTTTTAATACAATTGCATGAGCTGTTGTGTTTTTGAATGTCATCTGACTTAGTTAAGGTTAGAACCTTAGGCTGCATGAATTGTTGTGTTCCTGACTGCTAATCGTTTCTGATTATGCACTCGCTTGATCACCTCACATGTTAGGAGAAATGTCCTAAAATCAATCCAAATTGCCTGACAAATGTTTTCAGAAATGAACAGGGTAAAATGGTACCGAAAGGGCATTAGTTATCCAACTAGTGTAACCAAGTCCCCGAACTCATTTAATCTCTGGTTCGTAGGAATAGGGTGATTCTCCCATCACCCTATTTGGGTTTCTAATCGACCCACCCCAAATCGATTAGTGGCGACTCCTTGATATAAACCACTTGCATGTTAAACACTTAAACCCTAAGTCGCGATATGGTATGGGCTTGGGAGAGCCCGAGTTAAGTCCCGAAACTAGACTTAGCACGTACCAGGCGAGCCCCCCTTCTTTTTTTGCATGTTGTTGTTTTAAAAAAAAAAAAAAAGAGGCTCGGGAGTTCGGTCGCGACACATCCAAATTTCAAAAGGTTAAGACGTAATATGAGAAACTTTCGCAAAATACAGATGTTGGCAAACAAATATGTATTTGATTTTTTCATCATTATTGTAAATTTAACGGATTTGTTTGTGTTTGCAAGTCTATATATATGAACAACCAATAACGAAGTAGCAGAATCCAACCCAATTTTGGAAAGATAGTGATGCTGAGCTTAACCATGACGAGGAAGGTGATGAAAGATATCGATATATGTGTATCTCCATAAGGTAATCTTCTTCCGAATAGAACAAGGAAACAGAATATATAATTCATGAACTCTTAATAAGTAATCCTTCTCGTTCCTTGTAATGGATATACGGCTCTGAACAGCCTCAGCAGACGGTGGCTCCCCTCTTGATGAGCATGGCCATGGATGAACTTCCACTAGCCATCCTCTCCAACATCCTCTCCAGAGTCCCGGGCGAGTCGCTGCTGCGACACCGACGCGTCTGCAAGCGCTGGCGAGAAGCCATCGATGATCCCTACTTCCGCAACTCATTGCACTGCTCCAAAGAACGAGTGGTTCTATACCAAGAGTTTGACAAGGAGGAGATCCATCTCCTGAAGATACACGAGGAAGCGGCGACGCGGATGATCGAGATAGGTAAGTTTCACGGGAACGAGAGGCCACAAACTCCGAGGCACCTGCAATGGCTTGCTCTTTTTCAAGGACAGCATCGATGCCAAGAATAATGGTGAGGTCCTGATTAATCCCCTTACTAAAGAAATCCTGAGACTGTCGAGAGCACCCGATCTTTCACCAGACATGTCTGTTTATGGGTTGGGGTTCGATGGCTCTACCAACACGTACAAGATGGTACAAATCGATGCAATTGGCTTTGATGAGAAGACTCGCAACAGCGCGATGGGGGCTCGAATCTACGATTTCGACAAGCGATCGTGGAGGGCCTGCAAAGCCCCGCCGCCACTTTCTCCCGGCACCGGTCCTTATTGTGAATTCGTCTTTGCTTCTGGAGCTTTGAACTGGTTTCTTTCGTCGGATGGCCTGTTGGCGAGGGCGGTGCTCTCTTTCGACCTTACCAAGGAGGAATTCAGCTTGATCCCGATCCCGGACGTCTTCTTCGAAGACGGCGGCGGCCGCGACTTCCTTTTGTGGACGCAAATGTGCGAGCTGGGGGGATCGCTGGCGCTGGTCCATAGTCCGACCGAGACGCACACCGACGTGTGGGTGCTCAGGGACCCCACGAGGAGAGAGTGGACGAGGAAATACAGGATCCAGCCTCCGTTCCCCGCCGTCGGCTCCGACGTGGTGGGCGCATACAGCGGCGACAAGCTGATCCTCCTCTCTCCCTCGTGGAGAGACCTGTATCTGTACGATGTGAACGAGGGTAGATTCACGAGGTGTTGGACTGAGGCTGATCGTTTTGACACGATTTGCCGGTGGGAGACCCTAAGCCTTGTTTCTCTCGAAGCGACGGAGTGAGTGACCCTGTATTGTTCTCGATTAGTAGTAGCAGTACATCTTGAAATAAAACTCAAGCGTGCTTTTCTCCTTTATTATCTTTTTTCGAGGATATTTTTTTAATAATCTCCATGGCCATAGCAAAGAATAAAAAGAATGTGGAACATTTGAATATATTTGCAATTTAATGATGTATCTCGGTTGTTATAATTATGTATATAATAAATGCTCGCACTCACTAGTAAAATGAATAATAATCTTTTGTTGATATGATGTGTACATAGGGTCAATATGACAAATATATATTATCCTTCAATCTCTCGACCATTGACATTTGACTTGATGAGATTAATCAATAGATTAGATCATTGATGGTTGATTTGCTATTATTGATCTTATATATAAGAAGTTTTGTTGGAAAGAAATCATTTACTTTTAAAATGTTATGTGATTTGGGATTGACGAGTTACAATATAGGTTTATAAATATGCATAGTAGATGATCGATCTGTTTAGAAGAAATCTGCACTAATCACTGAACTGTGGTTGCTCACCCCTTTCATTCCGAATCTATTTTAGGTCCTTCAACTAGGAGCAAGTAGGACGAGTAATATCGACGGGGAATTTTAGTAGTTGAATTGTGAGTATGAGTTGAGATAGTCTTGACACATGTCTGAAATGACATTTGTTGGGTTTAGTTGAGTTGGAAATGTATATAAACTCTTGATAGATTATAGAAACCCTGATGCTGTAACCAATGGGCTGGTTTATTAGATATATACATACATACATACATATATAGACACACACATAAATGGAAATATATATGTTGATAGCAAGTTATCGTTTATTTTTTAGGCTGCTTCCTTAATGATGTTCATATCATTCCCCAATTCTTGTTGGATTTGAGTTGTGACAAAATTACTGATAAAATAATGGAATATAAGCAAATGCAATTCTCTTGGTTTAAGCACCACCTCCTAACTTTTTTCTAGCATCTTGAATCTCCTTATCATAAATTGTGTATTCCAAGGATTTACGCTGCTTGTCAAGCTATTGATATTTTCTGAATTCCTCTTTCTGCTCATCCAGTTCCTTTACTCATCCAAATATTGAACAACTTGGATAATCTACTTCCTCTTTTTACCTACTCAGAAGAAAGCAATAAGATCAACAAATGATAAATAGACCATGCATGAAGGATACACTTGGATGACTTACCACTTTCCTGCATGATTTTCTTACTCTCAGGACGTCTCTCCTCATTAACTCTACTATCACCAATCTCTTTCAACAAGTCCAGTCACTCAGAGTCTTTCATCAAAGTCAATGACACTATCTATAACGACACATCTTGGTGTTGACACCTAAATTTTGGCGATATCCTCATATACTCTTGTACCACCAATTTCTTTCAAGAGAATTTTGGAGAAACTTAGAAAATTATAAAGGCATACTTTTCCTTGTTGCACCACATAGTAAGGATTAGAGCAAGAAAAACCCAGCACTTTCCAGTAAATTCATAACTTAAGTCTTCCTGCAGTCAACATAGCACGAAAATTCAGTCACACAAGTCTGAAGATAAGGTTTAAGACGTGAATGCACTTGGGTTACGCATTCCCGAACAATGAGCAACACTCACGTGATGTGCTTTCCAACCAAATAATACTCATCCTTCTTCAAACTAACAGTTCTACGCAAGACTAATCGATAGAGATAATGACAATTTTTTTCTCGAATAGCATATCAAAATATAAGGCCCAGAAGAAGATCGCAACAGATGTCTAAAAGAGATCGGGATGATGAATAGTTCTGTCTCTACAGTAGTATACCAACAATCGGCACAAATATCTTCTCTTCAGCTGGGAAAACACTAAATCTAAGCACTCCAGAACCCATCAAGTGTATATTGTCATCAACTCCTTTTTCTCTCGCAGATCATGGTGCCCTACAACTTTACTGAGTTCCTTGATAACCTGACTTCTAAGATGTAGAACAATGTAATCCCAATGAGTTGGATCAACGAAGTGGGAAGCCCGGTATGTTGTTGCGGATCAATTGGCTTAAACGAGAAACAGAATCGATCTTCTTAATTCCTCAACAAAGTCTCTCTGGCTAAAATTAAAATCCCAATGTTGAACAGGAACATAGAGAATTGGCAAGGGAAGCTGTGAGAAAATCACAAGTGCTTCTGAAGAACAATAAATCTATGGGCAAGCCATCGATTCTGCTTCCTAAGAAAGACAGCAGATACTTGTCGCGGGAAGTCATGCCGACAACTTGGGCTATCAATGTGAACGTTGGACAATTACATGGCAAGGCTTGAATGGCAATGATCTCACAACCGGTATGGTCCGAGCATTTCCCGTTGGATTAAGTTTGAATGAAAAATATATTTCTTTGTAATTGATGCATATTGTTGACATGTCGTGTTGAAGATATTTAGAAATCTTTCAGGAATATTTAGGATATTTCCTCTGATTTTCTATATCTCTTTTGATTATACATATCATATTTGATTTCATTTGATTTTCTCTATCTAAGCCTATAAATAGGCTCTCTATGTACTTTTTTTAATATATTGAAATACAATTTTTCACATTTCTCTCTTCCGCAATTATTATATTTAACTTGGTATAAGAGCCTCCTTTCCTCAGGCAACTTAGTGCATCGGGTGCACTTCGCACCCAGTGCACCTCACGCACCCCAGAAATTTCCCCAATCCTATTTTTGCGCTTTATCATTCTTAGCGCAGAAATAAACCCATCCCCATCATTGCTGTTCAACAGTGTTCACTTGGTGCCCACAAGTCTCATATGACGAAGCACTTAATCGAGTCCGCATAGTGTTTCGATGCTAATCGTATTGATTGCGTCATCCATCGAGCCTTTTTCATGGAGGTGGCTTTCTTTCGATACTAGCCGCATAGGCCGCATCCCAGTAACTCTTTTCCAAGTCAGCCATATAGGCCGCTTGATGTTATGACGCCAGCCGTATAGGCCGCATCGCTTAGTTACTATTTTGCAAGCTAGCCGTATCGGCCGCTTGCTGTTTCCCCTATGATTCTTGACCTTTCACGCATTGTTTCGAGAAGCCGAAACCACCGCCAGACTCGCTCAACTTCAGATGAGCCAGATGCTGCCTCACTCACCGCCCCCTACCAAATTCACCAAGCCCGATGCCATGCAACGTCGTTGGAAAAACAAGTTTTCGTGACATTGTTCGACAATGATTTAAACTCATGGTGACTTTAGTCACTATGAGTTTGAGGGGGGATGTTGAAGATATTTAGAAATCTTCCAGGAATATTTAGGATATTTCCTCTGATTTTCTATATTTCTTTTGATTATGCATATCATATGTGATTTCATTTGATTTTCTCTATATAAGCCTATAAATAGGCTGTCTATGTACTATTTTCAATATATCGAAATATATACAATTTCTCACATTTCTCTCTTCAGCAATTCTTATATTTAACTTGTCGCAACTACCATGATCCTCAATGCGGTGAAGAGCACGGTCCATCCGGATTCCCAAGCCGTCTACAATGGGAACCACGATTCGAACTTCAAGAAGTCCAACAACTTTGCACAAGCCTATCGTCGTAGGCGAGCCGCCTTATGCGGAGACATTCTATGCGCCAGGGCCAAGCACTATCAGCAACGTGTGTGGGTCAGTCAAGTGCGTGGTGTTCATCATCTCAGGCCGCCCCTTCGTCATCGAGCCCTATGTCTCGAAGGTAGATGCCCTGGTGGCCGCTTGGCTTCCGGGGACCGAAGGCCAGGGAGTCACCGATCTCCTGTTTGGCGACTACGATTTCATTGGCAAGCTTGCAAGGACATGGTTCAGGAGCGTCGATCAGCTTCCGATGAACATAGAGGACCCGCATTACGGCCCGCTCTTTCCGTTTGGGTTTGGCCTGACGACCAAAGGCACCAAGGAGAGCAATCCTACATATTCTCGAAAATTGATGTATTTGTATAATTTATCTTCCTCTCATCAGGAAGGAGATTGAAATAGTATCTTTAATATTTTTCGATTGATATAAGATCACACTCAAATATTCAACGGTGAGATCAAAATGGGTGTTCAACATCAACCCTTTCTTCAATTGTTTGCTGCAATCATGACAGTATTCTTGTATCTCTGCAACTACATTTTACAGTTGATTTCAGTCAATTGCGCAAAAAATAGAGCAACTACTCTCACGACTTCCTAATTCTGTTAGGTCATGTGACAAGATTCACCTAAGCGTACATCGGCAACGTATTTGGTACGTACAATCTCGAGCTTGAACCTCTCCCGTTATTGCCCTGATGTGGAACACTTCAATTTGCCCACGTATAATATCGTAGTAGGAAATCAGGTGTCAGGGTAATTTTCTTTATAGACAGTTTTCCGAAATTTATTAATTCTTTTATAAATCTATTAACGCGAACAAAAAAATATCCATTTTTTGGACAAAGATGGTTGAATTGTCCGATCTTAATCTCTTCACTTTTCGCTAAGTCTGTGAACCGTTCTCTTCGCTACTTGATAAACCCAATTCAAGCATCTTTAATTTGTTGCCTTATACTAGGAAAGGTATTGAATCAGAACAACTAGAGAAAAGAAAATTAGATCTTAATTTGCACATATTCAAGTTTTAACTAGGTGCTCATCTTTATCCATCCAAGAGCATAGATAGATAGCACAGCTGTTTCCTCATCGAGATAATAATCTCAAATCACAGCGCTCGAGATCAGACAACTCCATATCCAGACTAGGATTGCTGCCGGAAGACATTATCACGTAATCATCCATCCATATCTCCGAGTCGCTGTGTAAGTGCGTGTGGCTATATATTTAGCAGGGGGGAGAGTAATCCACGGTCAAAGCAATTCAGACTTTTGGTGACGAGTTTCGCTGTCCGTCCCTGAAAGTTTGTCGTCTGTTGTCACTTCTCTTAGTGGCGAGAGCTTGAAGCTGAAGAAGCACTGAAGGTAATTACAAAAAGATCTGCTTTTGTTCATTGTGTTG